TTAGTTCAACTTATGTTTTATTTTAGGATCATAACATAATTTTTAATGAACAGATTAAACTCAGTCTCTAAAGTAATTCTGTGATCTGAGTTTTGTGTTTTCATTTCTTCTTTTGTGCCATCTTCGTGTGAACCATTTGAGTCTGAGTCATCATGACACAGAGGAGTTCATGAATGTGATCACACAGGAATCTAGGCATTTCTTGTTTTGTCTCAGTGTCCCTGATTGCTGCATTGCTTTTTAGTGGTAAATGACTGGAAAAAAGCATTTTGGAGTAAGATACCCACTACAACCATGGTACTTATAGGGTGATTAAATGGTTTTCCTCTGTCAGAACCACCATGGTGAGGTCAAGGCAAGGGGGTCAGACAGACAACAGGAACAAGTCTGGACTGTGCACATCACACTGGCTCAACAACAGACACATTAAACCTTATCCACAATCACTCTGTCCAGGTGCCACTCTCCATCTAATTACACTCTGATGACACACACATGCACTTCATCTCTCTCTGTCTCTCGCACACTCACAGGTACAGTGAGGAACAGAAGTATTTGAACACCCTGCGATTTTGCAAGTTCTCCCACTTAGAAATCATGGAGGGGTCTGACATTCACATTGTAGGTGCATTCCCACTCTGAGAGATAGAATAATAAAAAAAAATTCAGGAAATCACATTGTATGATTTTTAAAGAATTTATTTGTCTTGCACTGCTGAACATAAGTATTTGAACACCTGAGAAAATCAGTGTTAATATTTGGTACAGAAACCTTTGTTTGCAATTACAGAGGTCAAATGTTTCCTGTAGTTCTTGACCAGGTTTGCACACACTGCAACAGGGATTTTGGCCCACTCCTCCACACAGATCTCCTCTAGATCTGTCAGGTTTCGGGGCTGTCGCTGAGCAACGCAGAGTTTAAGCTCCCTCCAAAGATGTTCTATTGGATTGAGGTCTGGAGACTGGCTAGGCCACTCCAGAACCTTGATATGCTTCTTACGGAGCCACTCCTTGGTTATCCTGGCTGTGTGCTTCGGGTCGTTGTCATGTTGGAAGACCCAGCCACGACCCATCTTCAATGCTCTGACTGAGGGAAGGAGGTTGTTGCTCAAAATCTCACAATAAATGGCCCCATTCATCCTTTCCTTAATACAGTGCAGACGTCCTGGCCCCTTTCGCAGAAAAGCAAACCTAAAACATGATTTTACCACTCCCATGCTTCACAGTAGGAATGGCGTTCTTGGGATGCAACTCATCCTTCTTTTTCCTCCAAACACGACGAGTGAAGTTTAGACCAAAAACTTCCAGTTTGGTCTCATCTGACCACATGACTTTCTCCCATGCCTCCTCTGGATCATCCAGATGGTCTTTGGCAAACTTCAGACGGGCCTGGACATGTGATGACTTGAGCAGGGGAACCTTCTGTGCAATGCATGATTTGAAACCATGACGGAGTAGTGTTCTACCGACAGTGACCTTGGAAACTGTGGTCCCAGCTCTCTTCATGTCATTGACCAGCTCCTCCCTTGTAGTTCTGGGCTGATTCCTCACCTTTCTTATCATCAGTGATACCCCACGAGGTGAGATCTTGCATGGCGCCCCAGTCCGAGGGAGACTGACAGTCGTCTTTAGCCTCTTCCATTTTCTAACAATTGCTCCAACAGTTGATCTATTTTCACCAAGCTGCTTGGCAATTGCCCCGTAGCCCTTTCCAGCCTTGCGGAGGTCCACAATTTTGTCTCTGGTGTCTTTTGACAGCTCTTTGGTCTTGCCCATGGTAGTAGTTGGCGTCTGACTGACCGTGGGGTGGACAGGTGTCTTTAAAGAGCTCAGACAGGTGCTACTAATTTAGATTAATGAGTAGAGTAAAGGTGGACTTTTTCAAGGCACAGTAACAGGTCTTTGAGAGCCAGAATTCTTGCTGTTTCTCAGGTGTTCAAATACTTATGTTCAGCAGTGCAAGAAAAATAAATTCTTTAAAAATCATACAATGTGATTTCCTGAAAATTTTTTTTTAATTCTGTCTCTCAGAGTGGGAATGCACCTACAATGTGAATTTCAGACCCCTCCATGATTTCTAAGTGGGAGAACTTGCAAAATCGCAGGGTGTTCAAATACTTCTGTTCCTCACTGTACTCCTGAGGACAGCATGTGCAGCCCTGGTGAAGATAAAGTTTGACAGATCAGTTCCTGCAAATAACAGATGCTCCCACTCCAGCAGTTAGTACATTATAAAAACTGTGACACATTCTCTCCCCACTTCCCAAGGCAACTCTCAAAAGCAAAGTAAACTGTCTGGAATTGTGACCTACTGCTTCTTGCACATAAACATGTAGAGACACAAAATGCATTTACTGTGAGAAGAGCCACTAACATAGTAACATAGGATAAGGCACTTTGCAATTATTTCAAATCAACATTTTATCTGGTACTATCACTTAATATTGCAGAATAGGTCCCTTCAGAGAAATGTTTCATTACTGAATTGACTAGTTCTCTTGACTTTATCTTTTTCATGTAACACTATCATCTGAATGGAGAAAATACTGAATTTCAAACTGGAATACAAATAAATCCAGAGGTGAAGTTTCACTACTCATCATTCTCTAAAAAAGCAGACCCCACCATAGCTTTGGAAATCACAGCATTTCAAGTGAAGCCATGTTTTCTCAAGCTTAACTTAGTGACCTACCCAAGCTATAAAGTGCTCCACACATAAAGCCAAAGGAAAGCTATGGCCAGGTGTTTTTTGTTGGAGGTGAATGAGGAGGGAGTGGAAATTCATAGTAAATCCTCCTTGTTTCCCCTCTGCTAGCTTCCTGAAAAGGCTTATTATTTCTGACAGCCTGAGGAAGGGGAGTGTGGTGCTGACACAGGTGTCATAGTAGAAGAACACTGGTACTGATGAAAGCTTTCTCTTTACATTTATGTCTGTATCTGGCTTGACCAAAAAATTACACTTACTGCTCACAATATTAATTTATATTTTTTGCCTAATGAGTGTGGGGCATGTTCTCATTAGATTATTGAGAGGAAAAAAAGGGTTTGCACCTTGACAAATGACCAATTGTTAGAAGTGCTGCTGCCTGTGTCTAGTAGGAGTTTATTAACTCTTCTCTATGAGTGTTATTAATGCATTACTGTGAGTTGGCCATGAGGATATCCTGTACTGAGGATTAAGGAGGAGAACATGACAGATAAGCCCAAACCAAAGACACACACCAGAAAGCACTGAGAACACTGCAGCCTTGTTCACCAAGCTGCAGCAGAGTGAAGTCTATCACAAAGTGAACAGTGACACCCTCTGGAAAGCTACTGGAGAACACCACAGTGGCAGTTCAACAACTGACTGTGCTGAATTGTCCTTAAAGCTACAATCACTATGTTGAAAGTCACACAGTGTCAAAGATTTTACTGTAAGCTCCAAAGTTTTAATATCAATATTTCCTTTATTCTTGTTTCAGTGAGTCTGTTTTACCTTTTTCTTTTCTTTGCTGGTTTGGGTCACTTTGAAAAATAGGAAAAGGTCAGAACATATTTTGAAGTTGAGCAGTAAAGTTGCTGGCACAAATTTTGTTGAACTTGCCTCTTTATACACAGACAGCGCTTGAAAGAAAGCACAGGCTAACATTGCTGATTGCAGTCATCCCCTTTTTGACTATAAACTGCTGCCTTCTGGTCATAAATATGCTCTAGCCAGATGCAGGACACATAGATTTAAGAACTCTTTGGTCCCTGCCACTATTTTGCTTTTAAAAAGTGCCATGTGATGTTTGCATTTTGTTTTGCAATTTGTTTGCACAGTCAATCTACTGATTGTTGCAGCTCTAGATCCAAGGTTTATGCTCTTATATAGAAAAAAAACAAGTTCTTGGTTAAATAAGCAAAAATACATGAAGAGCCATGCTGATAGAAGAACATATTAATAACAGGTATTGTGTTACATAATGAGTAACAAGAAGAACAACACTGCCCACTGAGGATGATTATTCATTTGGAAGGGAATCAGTTTTCTGACCTGGTCTGGGAGCTGTGGCTATTGTTCTCCCATCCGGGACAGACGCTGAATCCTTTCCTAAAGTTTTTGAGTCTGTTGGTGTGGCATCCGCTATCTCCGCCTGAACCTCTGTGACAGCAGGACACTCTGCTTCCTCTTTATGAATGTCTGTGATAGGAGTACACTTCACTTCTGAGTGAATGGCTTCACCAGGTGCCCGTGGACCTGCTTCTTTACACACCGAGTCCATTGGCTCATCTACAAGACACAAAATCAATATTACTTACAACTAGTTAATGTGAACTACAGAGTCACAGTACCTACTCTGTTCTGAGTTGCTGCCTAAGTCTAAATGTAGTTTCAACCATGTGCTCTAATGATATGCAGTCCCACAGTCTCAAGTGTCAACTGCTGACAGCTGACTTGTGTTTTTTACTCTTTTCCATGCATACCAATACCAATAAAGAGAAATTCATCAGACAATAAACAAGCATTAATAACTCTTGTACAAATCAACATATTCTCACCATCATCCTGTTCCTTTGGTAACTGTCCTTTGGAAAGGAATTTACTCATCTTCTTCAGGATTTTCTTGTGGGATTTGGAAGGCTGGAATTTCAGTGCATGACATCTTCACAAAGAGCATAAAGGTAAGAGATTTGATGAGAAATATATATTTGTCCAAATATTTCTGACATTAACAAACTCAAACTACCAGAGATCATCCTTGTGAGTTCCATGTTAGATTGGTCTCATCAATTCTGAAACATCAATCACAGGAGAAAATTCCAATGGGTAAAATCTCATTACCTGATGGTATACTGGGGACAGCATGTCCTGTTCATTATGGGCTTGTAGACATATTTCCCACTTCTGAAAAGGAAAACAAGGATAGCCTTTATTAGAAAATATTTTATGAGTGGTTTGATAGATCCAAATGATATTTCTTGAACTACACTGAGGTGACTGCAGGAATTAACTGTGTGGATCTTTCTCCCCCACTACAAACTAATGAATGCCAGATTACAATTAACGATTTATTTGCCAGCAAACAACTGTTTTATTTCTTGCAAGCTGAATTCCCAGATAGTGACTGAAACTTGGCTGAAACAGGGCGAACATATTTTCTAAATGTCTACCTGCTCTTTTTTCAGTGCTGTGACCACTGCTGAAATTGATGTTGCTCGGTTTTCTGAATATCTCCTTGTTTTATTTGATGTAGCTGTTCCATCTCTGTGTAAACCTGTTTGTTCTACTGTCTGTACACATATGGTGACCCCCTCAACTGTAGAAGAGTTCTCTAGGAAATCGGACAACACTGAGCTTGCAAATGTTGGGGCTTTGTCAATGGGTCATTGTTAGATTCATTGCCGTTTTCTTATATATGCTTCCACTGGGGTCCATCATTAAGAAGTATGGTTTATCTTTTCATTGTTATGCTGATGATATTCAGTTTTACCTGCCTGTGTGTCCTGAGAAGGCTTCAACAGTTCAGTCTCCTCTAGACTGCTTAGAAGAGATTAAAGCATGGCTGGCAGAAAACCTCTTACATTTAAATGAAAAGAAAACAGAGTGTATGCTATTTGGATCTTTAGATTGCTGAAACTGTGGCACCCTGTCTCCTTATTTAGGTTCCATTGTTAGAAACCTAGGGGTGCTCTCTGATAGTGATCTAAAGTTTGATAAACAGATAAATGCCATCCTGAAGTCTAGCTTTTATCAGCTAAGATTATTGAGCAAAATTAAATACTTTTTCAAGGATTTAGAAATTCCAATACATGCTTTTATAAACTCCAGACTGAACTACTGCAACTCTCAATATATGGGTGTTAGTCAAAGCTTGCTTCCCTTCAACTTGTCCAAAATGCAGCTGCTCACTTCCTAACAAACACATGTAAACATGACCATATTTCCCCAATTTTAGCTTCACTTCATTGGCTTCTGATTAGTTTTAGAATTGAGTTCAAAATCATAATATTTGTTTTTAAAGCACTTAAAGGTCAGGCCCTCCTTTATTTTAGAGAGCTCCTTCACTAGCACAAGCCTAAGAGATCCCTTAGGTCTTCCACTTCCTAGGTCAAGGCTTAAACGCTGGGAAAATGCTTTTGCTGTAGCTGTCCCCAGATTAAGGAATAATTTGCCACTCAATATTACAATGGCCAGTGACCTTACAGCATTAAGATCTCTACTTGAAAGTCAGTTATTTTCTATGGCCTTTGTGAGGTCTGACGCTTTATTGTGAAATGTGTTTGATATTTTATTATGGTGTATTAGTATTCCTGTACAGTTTGGTCAGCAAGGTGTTGTTTTAAACAACATTGATTAACTACTCACCTTCTCCATCCTCGATCTATCAGGTCTTGATAGTCTTGTACTGTCATGGTGTGAGACCACATTCCTGTAGAAAAAAATAACACATTTAACAGAGTTCATATGATTTTAAACTTTGCTATACCTACTGAAAACCACAAAAACTTTGGTGCACTTTTATGTGATGTGCTTCTGCCAGTGAAATGTTAGAATGGAGCTTAGCCACAATAGACTAGTAAACCCCTAGATATCATTTCAATGTAAACTCAAAAGCCATTTAAATTCCCTATTAAGGACAAAACAGCCTTGAGCTTAACGGACAGTAAATGACTTTCCAAATGGAAAGAAGCCATCCATGAAAACACAATGTTTAATGCCTGACTTGAATGGGAATTATGTTAGAAAATGGCCACAATAGCTTGTGAATTAGACACGCGCTAAAACTAAAAACAGGAAGCCTGAATATAATTAAAACATCGTTTGTCAACAAGCTGCTTGAGAGTCTGGTGGGAAGTGTCAGTGTGTGCATTCCCATAGTCCTTTAAGGCCCTGACGGAAACATACACAACCTATTACTATTTGTATCCACATCAGCTGGGAGAACCGAGGTCTGATAAGTGCAGTGTTCAACTCCTGACCTTTTCTTATGAAACCATACAGACAGTATGCACATGTGTGCCTACCAACACTAAATCTCTAAGGCAAGACCGCTATCAGTTTACATCTAAAATAAGTGAGGGAACTGACTGTATTCCAGTTCACACAGCACACATCAAGTCTGCAATGGAGTATAATGCTCAATGTCCCAGAAGAATGGTGCTTAGCCAGAGTCCATGGAGAAAAGGAGATAACATAGCATGATCCAAGAGAGTGACACTAAAACACTGGAGAAGTGAATGACTACAGATAGTGCTAAGGCCAATAGATACAGCAGCAAAACTGCAGGTTTTATGTAATGACACAGCTAAAAAAAAAATAAAAAAATTAAATTACTCTGTTAGAAACTGGTATTTTTTTTATTGCTGGACCACTACTTAAGGGCCCTTTAACAACGTATGCTGATAATCATAAAAAAGAACTAACTAGACAAGTGGTTTCTGCAGAGCATCATCTTCCCAGATTCCTGTCTGCTTTTACAAAACCTATGGACCAATAAAGACAATAAATTCTGGAAAACATTAAGCAAGGAAAAAAGTCTTTGTAACCAATATAAAATTAAATCAAATCAAAGGCAGATAACCTTTATGTCTTTATAGGCACTGACAGACTCAATGACACTGAGGGCAGATGTTGTGCTCTATAGTGCAGTCACATTTACTTTGCATGTAATAACACTGTTGATAACATCACTGTACCAATCACAAAGAGGAAGACATTATGTTAAAGAGCACCTGTGTGGAAAAGTCTACAACACACCACAAACACTGTTCATACTTGATAATCACTCTACTGATCTATTGTCTGTTTTGTCTTCCCAAAAAAAAATAAGGGTATCATTTATAGCTTAGCCTAACTTGTGCACTTCCATTTAACTTATGGGTATAAGTTAAATGGAAGGAATAGGAGTATCTAAAGTCACAGAGCACAGTCACCCATTGACTGCATTAAGAACTGCCTGAAACCCAATAATAGTCCATTTGTCTTGCTCCCACTTAATGCCACCAATCAGTACCACACCAAAAGTCTGTTCCCATTATCTTGTGCAGCTTTTTATAGCTTTGTATCAAGTCAAACTTCTAAAAATGCAAAGTTACATTAAGCAAAATAGTCATTAAATGACAGCCTCTGGACAGAATATGCAGTAGAACTTTTCTTTGCCGGCAAATCGCCGACTTCTGCTTACCAGATGTAAAAAATGCTTAGTTTTTAAGTTACTTTTTTTGCAAATGTCAGTCCGCTTTCACACAAACCCAGGGTGATGATTGATCCTACAATATCAATACTTCTGATCCCCATGTTTCCATGTTAAAAAATCAATATCTAAAATAAGTAGGATAATTTGGGGTAAATGTAATGTTATCTTCAACTGGGGACACAGTAGACAGTAACTACAGTACCCAGGATAATACCCAGTTGATAGGAACTATTTTTCCTTCCGCCTGTCACAAACTACTGCTCTGTAAATGTGTGAAATACTGCAAAATAAGGAAAACATTCAGTCAGGAGTCCCTCAGCAACAGAGCAGATGTCATATGTGGTTGCTGGATGGAGGACAATAAAAAAAAACAACCAAGAGGGTATGTAAATATTGTAGCTGTAGCTATGTATGCATGTAGTATGGACATACTCCCACCACCAGAAACATCCCTTCACAATATGTAAGCAGGGTGGCACCATTTGATGTTAATAAAAGCAGCAAGCCCTTATATACACTCACCGGCCAATTTTAGTAGGTACACCTGTACAATTGTATGCAATTCAATGCAACACTTCCGCTTCATCTGTGTTTATGAAATTCAAAATGTTTCAGGTTTCCGTGAAATTGTTATAAATGTATAAATTCAATTATTCTTGTTTATTATTGAGGTCAATTACAGGCGGTGTTGTACTGGACTACATTATATTCAAAGATGTTCCTAATCTTCTGACCTAATGTATGTAGCTGGGCATGACAAAAATATAGAAACAACATTGTTTCTTGCACAAAATATCAGTATTGGCGATACCAGCCGGTTTTTATTTGGTAAGGGATCAGTAAGGGGATAAATGCTATCGCACGTCACTGCGTCATTTCCTGTTGCCGCCTTCATTTATATGGAAAGAATGGGCATAGCCAATAAAATGATTAAAATCATACTTTTCCTCGTCCGGGATGGATTATTTTTATTCCGCATAGTTAGAAGAGGTCTCGGGGAAATACCCTCAGAGGCTGGGTGAATGTTGTCAAATGACAATACGGGGTTAAAACTGTTGGCATATATCAATTCTGTAGGCGAGCGAAAGAGTTACCTGTGACCGCATGCAAAATGAATGTATGCAACACATGAGATGCACAAGCTGGAGCTATAGATAACCTGGTGTGACAGCGTAGCATCAAGTGAAATATTACTATTACTGCCCAGTTGAGTAGCAATTCAAGAAGTCCGTTCTTTGTCAGTTTCTTAACTTATGGTATTCTACAACAGTTTTGATTTGATTCCAAAGAGTAAACAATTAGCTATATGCTACTGACTAAAAACTGAGCCAACGTCAGGTCAATAAAATACTGCCGAAGTAACGTTAGGCTCAGTCTGTAGGATGCACTGGTCCCGTAGTATCAGTACAACAGCCATAACTTAGATTTACTGACATAAGATAACGAGGCCAACAACTGTCAACTAGCATTCTTTCAAAAGTGGTTACGATTCTAGCAAGTAGACGGAGCTAGGAGCTAGCTCGTTAGCATAAAGCAGTTCAGCAATACCGTCTAGCTTAACCGCTTCTTCTGTTTCATCAGTTAGACACTTACCATGAGAAACGTTTCCCTTTTCATTTTTACAGTAACCACAGCAGTGACCATCATCCCCACCAAAATACTCTACTATAGTGCAAGATCTGTTTCTTGCCATTTTTAATATCGGGACGTATGACAGCTGATTGTGCCGGGTTTCCGGGCAAAGTCTGCAGACCGTCTAACCCCGCCTACATGCAATACGTCATTAGTGCTGAGTTGAAGGCGTGTAGGAAAGGGGTCAGCATCAACAACCAACTCTTTGTATTTGGACCACTGTGTTATGTCGGTTTAATTGGGATTTATTAATGTTCAAGAACCAAACGATCAATCAGCCATTGTCAAAAGATTATGTTCCCTCAAACAATATGTGAAATGGTGGGAAATATTTAGGATTTCATCTATTGAACAACTGAATGCTACCATAGCTGAATATTTTAAAGCTGTTGCATTGATTTATAAATTTTTCTTAACATCAACACTAACTGCACATGTCAACCAGGGACATTAGGATGCAGATTTTTCAGTATTAAATTTGTGATAAATAAAATACATTACTGTTTAAAGAACTGTACAACATATTTAATCATCTTTGCAAAGAGGAAAAGGAGCAAAATCTGAATCAAGATCCTGCACAAATAACACATTGCAGTAAATTACAAAAACAAGGGCGAGGTTGTACATAGAAAAATAAGTTAGATAATCACACCCGGTCCAATGATTTTTTCTTCTGCTATAAAAAATAAAATGGCCTTACAGATGAAAGAGCTTTGTTTTTGTAAACAGTACTTTGTCACCTGTCACACACACATATACATAATAATGTATTTGTTTGGTGGTGTTTTTTTGTTTTTGTTTTTTTAACCACAGTATATACCCCTCTCAACTGTCATGTAACCACCAGTCATTTTCTCAGGAGATCAATGTTTATCTAGAAAACATTCACAGGTTTATGCAGAGGTTCACAAAACCAGGAATGTGGTGATCAAGTGAAAGTAGCCTCTGTTCTGCATGCAAGCTTCCTGCACCAATATAGTGAGTTTATACAGGTGATGAAGCAGCAGCAGCTGAGAAATCGAAGTGCTACTAGCAAACACAAACCTTTAAATAAACTGCATGGACATTTGTTATCTTGACTCCTGGTGATGGCTCTTTGGTTGGGTACCTAACTAAAGCTCCCCTGGGGGACAGGGATGTTTTCATGAAGGTATTTCATACTGCCTTGCTCCGAGAAGTCAACCACAGTGTGCCCTTCCCCCCGAAGGACCCATTTGGTGGTCAGAAGCCCCTCCAATCCCACTGGACCTCTGGCATGTATCCGTGCCGTACTGATACCAACCTCAGCTCCTGCAAAGTAGGTTTTGGAAAATTACTGTTTTCCTTCTGTCCCATTTTCAAGCCAGCAGTAGGTTCAATACACTTACAAGAGGATAAATATTCTCAGGTTTCTCTCAGATAGCATTAAGAAATAAAACCTTGCCTGATACTGCACATACCTAAGCCAAAACGGTAGCCATCAGCAAAGCGAGAGCTACAGTTCCAGAATACGCAGGCACTGTCCACCAGCTGCAGAAATTGTTCAGCAGTTTCTTCATTTTCTGTAACAATGACATCAGTGTGGGAGCTGCCGTATTTGTGGATGTGGTCCACGGCATCGTTCATGCTGTCTACCACCTCAACACAGCACTCCAGGTCCCCATACTCTGTCCTGAGAGATTTCACCTCGGATGGGCTGAAAGTTAAATAAGATGCAAACCGTGGGCCTGCATGGATCTTCACCTGAAAGAAAGAAATGGCACACAGATTTATCAACAGAGTGATGATGCAATCACTCAAAAATATACAAAAACTGCTTTACTGAATGAATTAAGTGCCAACGAATCTCTAGAAAGTTTGTTTCTGGAGCTAAAAGCTCCATCAAAATGTAAAAACCACTTAACCATATGCTGTAATTCTATGTATAATACTTGTCCCCAAATCTATGGAGTGTTTCTTACATGCTCTATTCTCAGCATATCAATGATCTGGTCAAATATTGGCGTTCGCAGCAAATCTTTGTGAATAAGGAGGGTCTCCATGGCATTGCAGGCCGCAGGGTAGTCACATTTGGAATCTCTGACTTGAATGAAACATAAGTTAGTATATTCATTCAGCAGTACTTGGCTATCTCAAGTAAATAACCACAACTTGTACAACTGCGAGTCATTCACCAATCAGGCATAATATTATGACCACTGAGAGCTGAAGTGAATATCACTGATTATGTCGTTACAGTGGCACCTGTCAGTGTGTGGAGTATATTGGGCAGCAAGTGAACATTCAGTCCTTGAAGTTGATGTGTTGGAAGCAGGAAAAATGGGCAAGTGTAAGGATCTGAGTAACTTTGACAAGGGCCAAACTGTGATGGTGATATAACTGGGTCAGAGCATCTCCCATACTGCAGGTTCCAGGGTTGGTGTTCTTGGTCTGCAGTGGTTAGTACCTACCAACAGTGTCTAAGGAAGGACAAATGATGAACTGGTGACAGGGTCATGGACGCCCAGGGATCACCTTACCGTAGATTAAACTTAACTGCCATTTGTACTTTTCAAAAGATTCAAATTTATTTGAATCTTTGTTAAAATGGTTCAAAATCAGAAATACTGTACATTGGTCTAAGAGAAAGAGTCAGGGGCTGTAGTGGTGATATCACACCTAGAATGGTGAGGCTGTTGAATTTGTCTAAAACATTCTCTCTAACTTGTCCTCACGACCAGATTTCACTCCTTTTACATCAGTTTTTCACTGAATTGTAGACACATCTGTGCTCTTCCTGACAGTAGAACTGTGGAAGCAAACACACAGAAGATGCACAGTGAGCTGCAGAGTGACACGAGTGCCAACCAACTGCCACATTGACTCCTGTATAAACAACATTAGGCAGGTGGTCATAATGTTATGCCTGATGTTGGCCTTTAAAACACTGTGACCAAGTCACAGCAGAAATATAGACAACATGAAAAATTTCTCCAACGCTCACAGCCACACAGAGGATCAACATACCAATATCAATAGCCTTTTCTATACTGGCATTGCTGTCTAAGTAGACGTGACAGACACCCTCGCTGTGGCCCAGTACAGGAATCCCCTTAGCCGCCCTTTGGATGTCCCGGACCAGCTGTGATGAGCCTCTTGGAATGATCAAGTCAATCATCTTGTCTAATTTGCACAGGTCCTCAACTTCTTCACGTGTGCTCACCTACAGGTCAATATACATTTTTGCATTTCATAGAACATTTGAGTATTTCTGTAATCATGTAAAAGCTCACACTATGTTCAGATAATGTCATGCTTTCATCCTTACCAGCTGGATGGCATCTGCCACTCCATGAATGGCAAGTGCTTCCTGCGTGAGTTGATGTAGAATTTTATTGGTGTTGGAAGCTTCTCTACCCCCTTTCAGTAGTAAAGCATTTCCACTGGCAATAGCCAGTGCTGACACCTAAAGCACAATATGAAATACGTAAAAATGGAAGCTCAACTTTTAATGACACACATGTAAAATGTCTCACACACAAAGACAGCTACTGGTAGTGAAAGGTGCGTCCAAAATTGCATACTTGCCTACTACATAGTAAGCTAAAATGTGTATGCAATACAAATAGTATGTCTGAATTCTTAGTATGGCAAAATATGTATGCATATACATAACCTCATAGTATGGAAGCAATGGACACTACACTATCCCATCATCCCACAGTGGTGACAAAACAGGCCCAAAGCTGTTGTAAGTTTCACCCTAGGACTGTTATTATGTTACTTGAAGTTTTGATATTTTTTCAGGTGAGAAAATAACCATCTCCTTTTCAATCATGTGGTCACTATGCAATTAATGTTAATTTAGAAATGTGCTCCAAAGTTTTTGGAGATGTGATGACCCGCTGTCAGCCAGTCAGTTGTGCCAGCTAGCTAGTTCTACTTAGCAGGCACAGCTGTAGCCACTGTGCAAGGCTTGAGGTGTAGTAGCATGTCCAAGGTTGGGCTTACTACACAAAGTGGCTGCAGTGTCTACTGCATTTTCATTTGCGTAGCAGGCATTCGAGAGAAAAATGTATGTACATGTGTAGAAGGCCATTTCAGAAGCACCCTAAGTCTACAGGCTGAGCGCTGGGTTTGACTGACCTGCGGGAGACAATCAGGACGTGACTCAAAGATGACGAGCAGGACACCGATGGGAACAGTGATCTGTTCCAGCTCCAGGTTGTTGGCTACCCTGGTCCTCCTAAGCACCCGACCCACACTATCCCTGGACGACACAGCAAGCTGACGTAGGCCGATGGCAAGACTGTTCAGCTTTGCAGTTGACAGACTCAGGCGGTTGATCTGAGGCTGGGAGTAACGACCTATGAGGAAACAAAAGAAACAAATAAAAACACTGACAATGTAGTACTCTACAGATCCACAAAGAGAAAATGTTTTTGCTTTCAGCATGCAGACAAGCTGTAAAGCATAAGAGAAAACTTGTCTCATCCAGTTGAAGAGCAGTCTCCTTACACATTATGCTATGCTGTCCTCCAACACAGGGCACAAAATGAGTCCTGCTAAATCTAAAAATGTAAACATATTATGTATTCGTAAACCTCTAGCTGGAAAACTAGCCGATGCACACCAGAGCAACAAAAAAAGACCAATAAATGCTGCCAACCAGTTAATCCCAGCCTCTTTCATAAGCCACTTTCCCAAAGCAGGAGTTCCAGAGATGTGTGATAACCACTGGCAGAATATGGCATTTGAGTCAGATGACTGCATGCAGCTGTGGATCAGTGTGACCTCTGTTTCCCCGTACCTGATGCTGTTGCTAACTCCATGTCTGTCTTGTTCGCACTCAGAATCTCATCCTTCTTCTCTGTAAGCAGCTCAGCAAGAGAGCAGATGATCTCTCCCCTCTGGAGATCCAAACACATGCATTATATGATTATGATCACCACATACCAGAATCATGAGTAACTAAAGCTACTACCACCATTACACTGTGAGCTCAGTCTGTCTGGCAACTGCTTGAATTCTTTTTGCCATGTTTTAGTATTGATAGGTTTTTATTTATTTATTTAAATATTTATTATTTTTGTAAAGACACTGTTGCCCTATCTGCTTGTTAAGTGTGATGTAACATTCCACTTCTGGGTCCAAACTCCCCCAGATGCAAATGGCCAAACTTTGGTTAGTTCTCCTCCTCTCCATATGCCACAGTGTTGTGTTCTATTTTTTCAGTAGATCTGAATCAAAAATCATGGGTCAGCTGTCATTCGACTGCTTTCCTTTTGATGGGAAGGAGAAAAAATGGCTACTTTTGACAGTATTCTTAAATTAATGAAACAAAACTTGTGCTTTAAAAGTGTGCTGTTTTGCCGCCTTGTAATGTAGCTAGCACAAAGTTGAAATAAACACTATACACTGACACATTTTACACTGATGAGAGTAACAGTAAAAGCTGGGAACTACATAAAACAAGTTAGACGTGTGTGTGTGTGTTATACTGTATGTCTAACTTGGCATATGGAGAAGAGGAGAACTAACCAAAGTTTGGACCCAGAAAAATAATGTTACATCAACACTTAATATGTAGATTGTAAGCTTGTCATTTTAATTAATTTAGGATTGTTATAATGAGGTCTACATACTTTACGTACGGGATTTAAATGAGAGATTACCTTAAAACATGCTGACAAGTTAATATATCAGTACTAAATAAATTGCAAGCCTAAACATTTATACCCCCATGAGAAAATGGCTTTCACCTACTATAGCATCTTAAACCTCACTTCAATTAGCTAGACCAACGTGAGGGAACAAGAAGCTCACTTGCTCTGGGAGCAGGGAGGCCAGAGCCCTTCCTGCGTTCCGGGCCATCTCTGTCTGCTGCTCCACAGTTGGACCTGGTGGTGTCAAAAATACACACATCAAGCATGAACATACAACAAGTGGGTATAATAATCTTTCTAGATGGTTGTGCCCAGTACCTGCAGGTTTCACTTCGGAGAAGAAAGTGCCAATTTTCTTTCCTTCCACGATGTCAGTGATGACATGACCCGTTACTTTAGGATGCGTACCATTGGCAATGACAACAGACGTACCACCCTGTAGTGCCCACAGAGCTGCTTTCACCTGATTCAGACAGCATGATGGAGAAAAATGAAACTTCATCATTCAACCAACTCATTCCAGCTGACACTTTCAGATAACTTTGTGTTGCTGACCTTGGCTTCCATGCCACCAATGCCAACTCTGGACTTCGTGCCATAAGTGATTGACTGCTGGTCTCCAGGATAAAATATATCAATGAGCTTGGCATCATCTGTACTTGGGGGACTGTCGTATAAGCCTGTGGAACAGAATTTGTTATTACTTCTTTGTGCCCTTCACTGAACCAGAACAGTCACACTGTATCATTTTCATCAAACAAACCTGAACAAAAATCCAAACAGCATATAGAAAATTTTCTATTTATATATGACTTATTGGGCTAATGAATAAAGGCAAATCAGATATGATACAGTATATTAAAGGTGATAAAGAGAATCAGACACATTTGTGAATGAGTGCTGAAGTTGATTGACTGTTGACAATAATACCTGCTCACCATTTAAGCAACTTTTGTAAAATTATTAAAAGTGTCACTTATTTAAGATTAGCTTTTTCATATATTCCAAATTAAATGACACATGAATTTAACATTAGTATTTATTCTATATATATTTATATAATTCTTAAGCTTCAACCACCATGAAAACATTTAACAAATAATGTGAAAACTTACTTCACTATAAATTTAAGAAAATCATAACAAATCACTTCTGTACCTTCAACATCAGACAGGGCAATGAGGAGGTCTACTTTCATTTCAACAGCCAGCCGTGCAGCTAAGCTGTCATTATCTTTAATGCTTATTACCTGAAACACAAACAGAAGTTTCATTAAGCCAAAAAAAAAAAATTTTTGAATTAGTAGAGAACATTTAAAACAGCCTTAGAAATGTAAAATCATGTGTCCAAATATTAAAATGTTAGTGAGGGAGGAAATGCTTTAAGCAATCCACCATCACAATTCAACATTTAGCATTCCTATGATACTCTTCATATGGTACCCACATTTACTCCCTGCAGGTCACTGCTGGGAACAGGCGGTGCAACAACAGCATCATTGGTGTTGATGATAGGCACTATGTTCATCCTTAGCAGTTCATGGAGCGTGCTGTTCAGGTTGCGACGCTTCTGCTCATCATGGAAATCCAGGTTAGTGACCAGAATCTAGTGAATCGGACAGAAATATAAAGAAATTGGTGTTAAAGTAATCTGCTGTCAGAATTGTATTCTGTGAGAAGAATGAAGTTCATACTTGTGCAGTGCAAATGCTGTATTGGGTGAACATAGCCTCATACAACGCCATCAGGCCGCTCTGCCCAGCAGCCGCGCAGGCCCTTGCCTCCAAAACTGGAACTGACTGAAAAACAGAAAGTTTAAAAAATATTAGCAAATTTAAGAAAATGTTTTACCTAATATTAAAACATTTCTCAAGGACTGGACTAAAATTCACAGTGTTAAAGAGCAGTATTCACCATGTCCTTGAGTTGGTTCTGTCCAGAATGCAAGGCTTGTCTGACACTTTGAGATAGTAGGATCTCGTGTCTCAATCTCTGTTTTCCAAATGCCACCGCCCCACTGGTGACAATCATCATTTCCCTGCCTTGGTTCTGCAGCACGGCCACCTGATAGGACACAAAAACAATAGCATTCATCTTCAGCCTAAATAATATAATGTTTACACATACACAACCATAATCTACAAAAGTTCTGCTCATCTGTATCAACAATACTAATGTGGCATTACAGGGCAGCTGTGGCTCAAGTTGGCCGTTCGACTCCCGTTCTCCCCAGTCCATATATCCTCAGGTAAGACACTGAATCCCAAGTTGCTCCCAAAAGCCAGATCAGTACCTTGCAGAGGCAGCACCACCATCTGTGTGTGTGTGTGTGTCTTCCTTTGTAATACTTATATCATGAGGACCGAAACCTGTTAACACACTCACATTGTGGGGACTCGGCCATCCTTGTGGGAACCAGAAGCTAGTCCCCACAAGGAAGTCACTGAATTTTAGGGTGGCAACATGGTTTAGGGTTAGGATGAGGTTAGGGTCAGGGTCAGGGTTAGGTGTAAGGCAAGTAGTGGCTATGGTTAAGGTTAGGATAAGTCTACAGGAAATGAATGTAAGTCAATGTAAAGTCCCCACAAGGAATGAAAACACTGTGTCTGTGTCTGTGTGTGTGTGTGTGTGTGTGTGTGTGTATGAGAGAGAGAGAGTTGGCACCACAGATGGCTTCCCAAGTTCTGTACTGGAGACAAATTCCTTGTGTGTGTACCATACTTGGCCAATAAAAGTGATTGTAGTTATCATTACCTGCTCTACTATGGAGGCCAGTCGTCCCAGTGACAGACCACACTCATCTCCACGTGTCACCACAGCACTCCCCAGCTTCACCACAATGCGTTTGGCCTGCTTTAACTCACTACGGTGGGCAAACGACTTCCCATGGGAACGTGGGAGTAAGACTGCAGAGAGAAACAGTCACATTTTACTGCACATCCGCAGGTACCAGAGGCATATTACAGCAAGACAAACAGATGGTGAGAAAGGTGTCCACATCAGGTATGAGAAAAATAACTGTTAAAAGGAGTTACTTACACTTGGTTTGAGAATACGCTCTGCTAGAAAGTGGACAAACATTTGACTGCCGGGTTCTGGATGGCAGGCGGGAGCACAAGGCCAGTCTGGCAAACATGGCACTGACACTTGCTGTGATGAACACACAAACCATCCTCTGGTTAATTTAACGTTACCAGTATAATAAACTCACCTGAGACAAACTGTTATTTGGATATGAACAGCGGGACATCAAGCTGTGTGTGCCCTCAGGTGAGCTACCTGAACTAACACACTGCCCCGGTGAAGATGATGTTATTTGCATTTGTTAGCTTAGAAATATGAGCAAGATAAAAATCCAGTTCCTAGATACTATTCACACCAAAGCACATATGAAGCCACTGTGAGCAAGTTAGTTTATAAGGCTCACAAACTTAGCTGCATGGCTAGCTAACGTTAGCTTAGTTTAGCTATTATGAGCTATCTTATCTTAGCGGCTATTTCCAAAATGAATGGACGGAACACTTTTTTAAACATTTTCACAAATTGACTTCCTACCTGACAGTATGGAAATTCGGGAAACCAATCACAGCTACACTGGGGGATACAATGCAACAGACACGTAGTCACCCGAACCTGACGCGTGGTGCTATATTCTGCTGCCACATCTACAGCCTACGTTGGTTGTGAAGTGCGGTGATTCAGCTATTCACGAACGATGTCTACGCAAGATATCTGGATTCGACCATATGGTACTTACGTACGTAAAAATAATACGTTTGATGGGTTAACACTTCGGGAAGAAGGCTACAACCACAGAAATGTAGAGAAAAAAAACAAGACTAATATTTCAGTGTTTTAGTTTTTAATGAATGTAATTTAGTTAAAGTTTTTAACTTAAGATTTTGTATTTAACTTAAGAAAACAAATTAACAAAAATAATTGTAGAATGTTAATGGAGACGTATAGAGATGGTCAGAAGGAGCT